GAATAAAAGGATGGTTTAAAATTAGAAACATGTGCTATCTCTCATTAGTCTGTCAGATAAGAAAAATAATAAAACTCAATATATAGAGAAAATCAATTCAAAGCATATCCCTGATTTTCAAAAAAAAACTCTGAAAGTTAGAATGCTTTATTAACATAAAAAGAATATTTCAATTAGCATTATTTCAAAGATGATACACTGGAAGCATTTTCTAATGGAACAAAACAAGTATGGCAACTCTATTATTATTTCATATAATTCTGGAAGTTCTAGCTAATGATGTAAGATGAGAGAAGGATTACCATTTTGAGAAAGAGACTCTAATTATTATTGAGATTATAGAACCCCCCCCCCCCGCAAAAAAAAACCCTGAAAATCTATTAAAATCAATTGGGTTAATAAGACAACTGAACACATCATAGGTACACAAGTGAAAAAGTTTCCTCTATATAGCAAAACTGGTTAGAAAAATTAATGGGATAAAAGGATCCTATTAATAAATAGCCACCTTAACAAGAAATATGTTGGATATCTTAAGAAAAAAGTCAAAATTGTACTAAGACAAAAATCGACTTGGGGCACCTGGGTGGCTCAGTGGTTAAGCATCTGCCTTTGGCTCAGGTTGGTTCCCTGGGTCTTGGGATCAAGTTCCACATCAGGCTCCCCGTGGGGAGCCTGCTTCTCCCTCTACCTATGTCTCTACTTTCTCTGTCTCTCATGAATAAATGAATAAAATCTTTTTTAAAAAATTGACTTAAAATTGTTATATCTTTTTTTTAAAGATTTTATTTATTTGAGAAAGTGATTAAGAGAGCATGAGTGGGTTGGGGGGTTGTTGAGGCAGTGGGACAGGGATAAGTAGACTTCCTGCTGAGCTGGGCTCCATCCTAGGAACCTGGGATCATGACCTGAGCCAAAGGGAGACACTTAATTGACTGAGCCACTCAGGTGCCCAAGATTTTTATCTTAATATTATAATAGTAAAAAGTTGCCAGCAGACTAAATGTTTACCAAAAAGAATGGTTTGTTAATTTTACTCTATTTTGTTCCATAATGATTTTTAGATAGTGTTCATGATGTACATGCTCCTTGAGGAATCTGCTTAAAGATTCTCTTCTTCTCTCCTGCCCCTCCACTTGAGTATTCTCTCCTTTGTCTCTCCTTTGTCTCAAATAAATTTTAAAAATCTTTGAAAAAAGGTAAGTTCCTGGTAAATCCTTCAAGATAAATAGTATCCAGGTAGATAGTAACCAGAATGGTTTGGAAGGTTTAGAAGCTGGCTTTATGGGCAGCCCCGGTGGTGGCTCGGTGGTTTGGTGCCGCCTTTGGCCCAGGGCGTGACCCTGGAGACTCGGGATCGAGTCCCACATCGGGCTCCCTGCGTGGAGCCTGCTTCTCCCTCTGCCTCTGTCTCTCACTCTCTCTGAATAAATAAAAAAAATCTTTAAAAAAAAAAAAAAAGAAGCTGGCTTTACTCTCTTTAAGCCACAGTGTCTTCATCTGCAAACTAAGGGTATTAGTATCCACTTGAAGGCTAACCAGTTAGTATGATTAAAACTGAATAAAACCCGTGGGGATCTCCTCTAGCCAGAGTTGTATGTGCCTTTCTAGCTGGAGTTGTGTTTTGCTACTAGAGGGTCCTTGTGTCATAACTCACTAGGAGTTGTTTGTGTTGGCTGAGACAAAGTGCAGATTAAACCTTGAAAATTGTCAAGCCAATTGGAGGGACAGTCAGATTCTCCCCTCTCAGGTGTCTAAGAGGGATTTTTTAAAGTTACGAGATAGCTGAAGGTTGGAAGCCCTTTGGCTTGCCCTCATCCTGGTCACCTCTCCAGTCCGAACATGGGAACAGGTGTCTGGTGAGAACTGAGCCAGGGTGAAAGGCAAAAGGCAGGGTGGTCCTCAGGGTGGTCACTTCTGGGCAACTTCATTTCACGCTGCCATTTACAACTGAGTTGGGTCCTCAGATAATTTTGAAGGCTTTTCCCTTTGGCTTCCTACTCACAGGGAGCCCTTTATCATGCCTTCAAGAGGACGACCCCTGCCGGACTTGTTCTGATCCTGGCGTTTAAGTTCTCAGAGAAATTAACTTGTGATCTGTAGAATAAATGAAAGTTAGAAGCCCACCATGTGAAATGTGCCAAGAAGATAGGAAGAAGATAAGGGTTAGTGAAGTCAGTGCCTCCTACTGGGAAATCAAGTCAGCACTTCAAGGGGACTGACAGTATTTGCCTGTAGGTTTGTTTTTGTCCCTAAAAGTTGGGGAGAGAACAGGCCTAAGAAGTGGACAGCGGGGGACGCCTGGCTGGCTCAGTGGTTGGGCGCCTGCCTTCGGCTCGGGCCGTGATCCCGGAATCCAGGATCGGGTCCCACGCCGGGCTCCCTGCATGGAGCCTGCTTCTCCCTCTGCCTGTGTCTCTGTCTCTCTCTCAGTCTGTGTCTCTCATGAATAAATAAATAAATCTTTAAAAAAAAAATGGACAGCGGGGTGGAGGCAGTTGCGGACTAAGAGCCCTTTTATCTGACTAATCTCAACCACCTCTCATTATTTTGATGTTACAACACAGCTTCTGTCTCTTTGGTTGTTCTTACCAAAGCTTTGTCCCATCAGGACAAAAGCTGGGAGGAGAGGACTGCCTGCTGCAGTGCCTGACCTCACCATTTGCTCAGGGCTAGCCCAGTTCTGCACTTGCACATCTATTATGTCACCGTCTGTGTCACTATCATCTGTTTTTCTTTGGTATTTTAGGCTGGCTTTTTCCAGGAGAAATGTTTTGTTTCCTTGTTCTGGGCTTTATATTCATTTTACTTCTACTATGTTCAATTAAAGTTATTGGCTTAATTATGCATTTAAAACAAAACAAAACAAAATAACAAGAAGCCACGGCCCTAATTGGGCAGGAGAATTGAGGGCAGTGCTACTCTGAATGTGCTCTGATTTCCTGACCAAGAGAGGCCATACAAGGGCCCTGAGAATATTTGCAGACGCAATTCCTCATACACTCACTTCTGAGTTGTGGTGAACAAGGAAAATGTCAGAAGCCAGAGACATTGTTAACACAGTCTTCCCTGGGGGAAGAAAAATAATTCTTTAAGCTAGTCCATGTTGATTCCAGGCCAGATTTTAGAATATTCTGACAGAGAGATGACATAGATGCCTCAAAAATGAAGTATTAAGAGTTTCAACACAGGTTCACAAAGAATAGGAAACTTTAGGCTTTTTAGGGTTTGGCTCAGGTTGTGATCTCATGGGTCATGAGATCATAAGAGGGTCTCCTCCCTCTGCCCCTCCCCCTGCTCATTCTCTCTTTCTCTGAAATAAATACATGAATCTTTTAAAAAATATATTATAGGATGCCCAAACCTAGCCTCTGCAAGTGGGTACCTACTGATCATTATAATACAGACCTCAGAGGGTGGCCCTGTCCCTTTTGGGCTAACAGTTTTTGTTGTCTTGTCTGCCGGATGGAAAAAACATAGAATGGCTGGCTGACCTTATCCAAGGAGTTCAGAACCATTGGCAAGGACTGCCACTAGGAGGGATATTTCTGTGTCTTCCCTGCTTCTGTACAGAGTACCAAAGGCTGTTGGACATTGATCTTTGTTTTTCTTCCAGTTTTATTGTGCTATTAGTTGACATATCATGTTGAATACATTTAAGTACCACATAATGATTTCAATATTTGTATATAATACAAAGTGCTTATCATGGTAAGTTTAAAATATCCATTACCTCACAGTTAATAGCTTTTTTTCTTGTGATGAGATTTTTTTTTTTAAATTTTAAATTTTTATTTTTTTGTGATGAGATCTTTTAAGTCTACTTTCAGCAGCCTTCAAATATACAATACGGTGTTGTAAACCATGCTGTACACTATGTCGTCAGAACATACTGGTACCTTTTGACCATCTTCACCCATTTCCCCCAGCCTGGACATAGGTCATTGAATTGCTGTTGGGATTATATGTCCTTTTAAGGTGCTTTCTAAGTCTAGATTTTCTGTTTCTGAATGACAGTGTTTTGGATTCTTCTAATTGTTTTCGTTTTAATAAGAAAATGCAGGGATGTCTGGGTGGCTCAGCGGTTGAGTGCCTGCCTTCAGCCCAGGGCATGATCCTGGAGTCCTGGGGGAGTTCCACATCAGGCTCCCTGCATGGGGTCTGCTTCTCTCTCTGCCTATGTCTCTGCCTCTCTCTGTGTGTCTCTCATGAAAAAATAAATAAAATCTTAAAGAAAATGCAATTGCGGGGCCCCTGGGTGGCTCAGTTGGTTAAGCGTCTACCTTCGACTCGGGTCATTATCTCAGGGTCCTGGGATCGAACCCTGCATCAGGCTCTCTGCTCAGCGGGAGTCTGCTTCTTTCCCTCTTTCTGAGCTTTCTCACATACATACATACATACATACGTACATACATAAATAAATAAATTTTAAAAAGACAGAAGATGCAATTGTATTGGTAGGTGTTAAATGACAAAAATGCCTAGCACTATGATTATTTTCTGTGACTTGTTCTTTTCAGAACCTCTGGCTGAGTAGTTCTGTTCTCTGAGCCCTGCCACTTTTGACCCTCTCTTTCCCATGGGGAGCCCCTTGCAGAGCTAACAGGCTCTTGCCTTCACTGGGTTCAGATATCAGCAGGAGAACCAGCAGTCCTGGCCAAACAGCTCAGGCTGCAAGAGAAAGCTCCTCTGTTGGGGCACCTGGCTGGCTCAATCTGGGGAGCATGGGACTTTTGATCGCAGGGTTGTGATTTTGAGCCCCATGTTGAGGGTAGAGATGACTTAAATAAATAAAAATTTTTTAAAAAGTTCCTCTGCAATTTTCATTCTTCCCCAACATCACGTACATGTACAATATGATGAGACTGTATGTAGACCATGGTCATGTGCATAGAAGTCTTTGTTACCCTGTTTGATTCTCTTCGCTTAAAAATCAGCTCCTAAAAGTTTTAGAATTGAGCTGTAACTTGTCTAATACCAAGTTTTGTTTTTTATTGAAGGCTATTTCTGATGCTTGGAAGCTACCCTTTCAGCCACAAAGATGGTCATCAATCTTTGCCTCCCACAGTTCAGACCAAGAATTTATTGCAACAAGGTAAACAAAAAAGTATATGCACATAAATATACAATGGCTAGTTTTCACATTTTTCCCCATTCCTGCCTGGGTATGTGGACTTACTTTGGACATAATGTGCTTTTACCTTCTCTGTTTTAGATCCCACCAGGTGATACGTAGGTAAGTATGGGTCAGGCCACACCTCTAGAATCATACAGCGCTGTTAGAAGGTGAGCTGTGGCTCATTTTCTGGAGGGTCTTACTCATTGTGCTCTTCTCTCTGATGATAAAATTTAATTCCACTCAAAGTCAGTGAAGGTAGAGATTCTTTCCCTGCTGTTCTTCCCCTTCTCACTAGAAATAATAGCTTGTATTTGTTATTTGGATTCCTTCTTTATTATTTTAATTAAACTGCTTCCCCTTTTGTGCAAAGGAGGTTATCTTTGCACAGCTCGGAGCAATGAGTAAGGAAACTGCAAGGGGAGAACTGAACCCTCCCCTAATTTGGACCTTCTGCATTCAGCATACTACATCAAGTTCTTAGATTGTGAAACTAATTTCTGTCAACAGAGACACAAGTGCCCTCCACACCTGGCTATGTGAAAAGAATATTCCCATGAAACCTTTTGTAAGGTGAAATGGCATGAAATGAAGAGTATCCCCTGCCTTCTGAAAGTTCACATTAGGCCACTTTGCTTTTATGAAAGACCTACATTAGTGGTTAGTTTGATAATGACTTTTTTCTGTAAAGGTAAAAATTCTCTTTGGATTTCTTTTGGTTAGCAAAAACAAGTACTAATATAGGTCTTCGGTAAAAGCAAAGTGATGTGATGTGAACTTTCAGATGGGGTGGGGAGTACCTGTATCTTAAAATCTCTACAAGTTATAACAGATATTAGAAATATTGGAGGGGTGTGCCTGGGTGGCTTACTCAGTTAAGCATCTGCCTTCAGCTCAGGTCATGATTCCAGGTCATGATCCCATGATCAAGTTATGATCCCCCTCCCTCAAAAAAGAAATATTACAAGAGGAAAAAGTTACATTCCCACTCCATAGTATAATCACTATTCTAGATTTTCCAGTCTTTTGTGGTCCTTGTTTCTGAACACACTTTTTTTTTTTAACCAAGATCTGTCACTCATAGATTTACAAGAAGATTGTTCATTGGCCTTGCTAGGGAACCTGTTACAATTTATAGAGTCCAAATACAAAGTTAAGAACTTTATCTTTTTTAAATATTTTATTTAAAAAATTATTTATTTATTTGAGAGAGAGAGGACAAGCAGGGGGAGGGGCAGAGGGAGAAGGGGGAGCAGACTCTCCGCTGAGCAGGGATCCTGATGCAGGACTCTATCCCAGGACTGTAGGATCATGACCTGAGCTGAAGGCAGATGCCTAACCAATTGAGCTGCCCAGGTGCCCCCAAATTAAGAACTTTAAGGGGCACCTTTGTTTTCCCCTAAATCTCTATGGTTTCATCCTCTGAAATAAAAAACCACTAGTATATCTGCCCTTTTTTCTCAGAGTCATTATTTTGAAGGGATTTTTGGTTGGGTTGAGCAGAGTTTTGTTGCTTATATTTTTTAAGGATGGGTCATACTTGGGAACAAGTTGCTTTGACCTGATCTTGAGTGCCTACCCTTCAAAAAAAAAAAAAAAAAAAACCAAGAGAATTTGATGTAATAGAGGACATTTTAAATGAGGAACTTAAGACTTTATTTAAATAATTTTCTTAGAAGTGGCAAGTTCCTGAAAACTAGTTGTCTTCATTTGGATCTCATCAAATGAATGCATCTCCTATTTGTCATTAACTCTAGATATCAGCTGATGGTTATGAAGTAGAAAATCTCATCTCTGAAGACCTCACAAAGAGAAGTCATGGTTTTAGGACAGAGTATTTCATTAAGCCACCGGTTTATGTGACAGTTTCCTTTCCCTTCAGTGTGGAAATCTGTAGAATTAACATAGACCTCACAGCTGGGGGAGGCCAGAATGTCACTGGCCTGGAAATGTACACATCTGCCTTATCCAGCAGAGCATCTTGGAATGCCTCCGAGTGCCGAACCCTGGGCCCAGCTGAGCCGGCCATCCCGGACAAGGAGGCATTCACCTTGGTAGGCAAAGTCTTACTGAAAAACCAGAGCCAGGTGGTGTTTAGTCACAGGGGCTTCAAGGCCAGGCCACCTTTTGGCCCAATGGAAGCCACACTGCCCTCTCCTGCGGTTGTGGCCCAGGAGCTCTGGAATAAAGGGGCTCTTTCCCTCAGCCACGTGGCCCATCTCAAGATCTGTATCACCCACGTGACAGGCAGTGGTATCCCTTGCATCAAACGATTGGAAGTGTGGGGTCAGCCAGCTAAAACCTGCTCTCAGGAGGTGATAGATAGTGTCATGCTGGTTGCCTCTGAGAGCCTCCCTCAGGACTTGGCTCTGCAGGCTCCTGCCTTGCCCATGGAGAGTGACTGCGATTCTGGGGGCCTGCCTGAGCACCAGCAGGCCCCCACCAGCCTGCAGGAGCTGGCTGAGGTAATTCAAGATGTGCCCGAGGAGTTCCTGGACCCCATCACCCTAGAGATCATGCCTTGCCCAATGCTGCTGCCCTCGGGCAAGGTCATTGACCAGAGCACATTGGAGAAGTGTAACCGCAGCGAAGCCACTTGGGGCCGAGTGCCCAGCGACCCTTTCACGGGGGTCGCCTTTACTCCGCACTCCCAGCCCCTGCCTCACCCTTCCCTGAAGGCCCGGATCGACCATTTCCTGCTCCAGCACTCTGTTCCTGGCTGCCATCTGCTCGGGAGAGCACAGACTGCATTGGCAGTGACGCCTTCTTCCATTGCTCTGCCGTCTCGGAAAAGGAAGATGGAGCAGCCTGAACACCTCCCAGATGGTAGCCTTGGTATCAGTGCTTCCGGTTTTTCTACCACGAGTCTTCTGGTCTCACCCCCTACCTCAGAGCACACCGCCAAGAAAATGAAAGCTGCCAGCGAGCTTGGGCTGACGCATATGGACTGCTCAACAGGTATTCCACTTCCTACGTCCATGTCCTATGTCATCCCTAAGCTTCCCAGGCGACAGTTGGCACTGTTGCCCTGTGCTTTATGCTTTGCCACCTTAAATTACCCCCAAATATACTGGCTTAGAGCACCATACATGCATGCTCTCATAGCTTCTCTGGTCAGGAACGCAGGCATGGTTTGGCTGGGTCACCTGCTTCTGGGTCTTCCGCAGCCACACTCAGTGTGGCTGGGCCCGCAGCCCCCTTACACCTTGCCTGGAGAAGGATTCACTTGCTAGCTCACTCCTGTGGTTGTTACAGGATTCAGTTCCTGGCTGAATTGTCATGCTGAGGGTCTCTCTTCCTTGTTGGCTGGTGGCCAGAGTGTGTCCTCAGCTCCTTGCTGTGTGGACCTCTTGAGGGCAGCACATAACATGGTAGCTGTGTACACCAGGGTGTGTGCAAGCAAGGTAGAAGTCACGGTCTTGTATAACCCACTTGTGGAGGTGACATCCATCATTTTTGCTATATTCTATTAGAAGCAAGTCACTGAGTCCAGCCTATACCCTAGGGGAGGGGGGACCCAAGGCATGGGTATCTGGAGATGGGTCCCATGGGGAGCCATTTCAGACACTCCCACACCATTGATTCTTATTTTATTTAGTGGTGGTTTTTGTATTTGTTTTTGTCTAGGATAGGTGGTTTAATTTTGTCTCATGCCTTTTCAGTGTCAGTGGAGGTGATACTATGATTTTTCATCCTTAGATCTTTTAATGTGAAAAAATACATTAGTAGGCTTCTTAATATTGAGCCAGTCTTAACATTCCTGGAAGAAACTCCATTTGGTTATGCTTCTTTTAGTATTCAGCTTGGCTCTGTTTATGGCATTTTATTCTGGATAATTTGGACTGTTGTGTATGTATGTATATGTGTATGTATGCATGTATACATGGGCAGATGCCATCTTTGGTCATGTTTTTTTTTTTTTTAATTTATTTTTTTAATTTTTATTTATTTTATGATAGTCACAGAGAGAGAGAGAGAAAGAGGCAGAGACATAGGCAGAGGGAGAAGCAGGCTCCATGCACCGGGAGCCCGATGTGGGATTCGATCCAGGGTCTCCAGAATCGCGCCCTGGGCCAAAGGCAGGCGCCAAACTGCTGCGCCACCCAGGGATCCCTTTGGTCATGTTTTGTTATCAAAGATTTATTTGCTCCATAAGAAGAATTAGGAAATTTTCCTTAACTAAATTTTAGAACAATAGTATTAGAATCATTTACTCTCTTAAATATTTGGTAGAATTTACCCATGATTGTCCAAGCCTGGTGCTTTGTGGAGGTAACTCTTTGACACTTTCTTTTCTTTTATGAAAATTAGTTTTTCAGTTTTATCATTCTTTTAATTTCCTCTCATACTGTAAAAACCCTATACAAATAGTATGCTTAAAGGTTACATGTGGTTTTGAGTATAAGTTTTCGTTAACATGACCCTTGGAAACTTCTGGAAGCAACTGAGATGCCTTGGGGTGAGACAAGGAAAGGGTCCTTAGACCCTGATGTCTGGGAGGTCTCCGGTGGTGTTGGCCTTGGCAGATTTGTTGGTGACATAGGACTGTGCTGTCCTGTGCTTCGAGGCCCAGAGCAAGTCGTACAAACTGTAGACACTCCCTCCTTTGGGGCAGTTTGGTGAGCCTTGCTACCAGGCAGGTCTCTGGGTTTTTTCTGGGACAGCCTCCCCCCTCCCCCATTGCCTTCACCTTCAGCCCACTGCTCGGCTTTCTGTGGACCACACAGAGAAGGTCCCTTACTTAGGTCCTGGAATAGGCGGGGTGCGGTCTTTGCTACTCACTCAGTAACGACCACTTTGCTTTACTCAGCAGGAGAGAGAGAGCACACAGAGGCCCAGAGGTGCAGGCCAGCAGCTTTGCGAGGTGGGGGGAGCCCAGAAGGGAGAAGGTGGGGAGAAGTTGCTGGTGAGGGAGTGGATAGGGAGCAAGGGCTCAAAGCTGGGCGTAGGCCCAATCATTTCCTTGGCCTGCAGGACCTGCCTAAAGTAGGGTGCAGTTCTGCAGGCTAGCCACCAGGTGGCCCAAGCCTGCTCGGCAAACTGTCCAGGAGCAGGAAAGCAAGAGCAGGGCGCAGGAGCCCTGAGAGCCGTGTGGATGGGTCTCCAGAGCCTTCACTGCTGGTGTTCTGTCATCACAATCCACTAGTGGACGTTAGGGAGGAGTTTCTGTACACTTGTCCATTTAGAGCTGGAAGTGCTGTTCTCGCAGTCCTCCAAGGACATATGGCTTGGTCTTCTCTTTTGCTGAACCTCTCTGGATATTGTGGTCTGTGCATCTCTTATCAGATCCAGTGTCCCATGAGCAGAAGCTGTCACAAAGCTTGGAAGTTGCCTTGACGTCGACCCTCGGCTCCATGCCCTCTTTCACAGCTCGGCTGACCAGGGGACAGCTCCAGCACCTGGGCACGAGAGAAAGCTGCACCTCCTGGAGGCCAGCCACTGGCTCGGGTAACCAGGGCCCCCTCTGTCTCCTGGGAGCCCTGGAACGGGAGGCTGGGCCACGCATCCAGGGTTCTGCGGACCGCCATGCCCAGCCTCCTCTGCCCCAGCATCCGGGCCTTGGGGAGAACCAGTCTCTTTCCTTCTCCAGGGAGAGTTGAGGGGTTCCTGTCACTTCACAAGAAGGACTTTCTTTAGTTAAGTCTTAGTAATTCTGTAGACTTAGAGCTTGGCAGCTCTGTGGTGTTTCTGGTAAGATCTAATTGTTCTGTCCTGAGAACTTTTGGTTGTTTCTCCTTCGTTTAGTTTTCAGATCTAGTCTGTCTCCCATCTGACACTTGGGTTGTTTATTTTATATAACTGGGGTTGTCCTCTTCATCCCTTCCTGTCAACATTGTTACTGGTGTTTCGGCAAAGAACTGGGGCAGCTTACTGAGCCAGTTTTTGTCTCCCTTGAATCTGGGACTACATTAGACGATAGAATCAATTAAGATGCAGAGAGAACCTACTGGAATGCTGGGGCAGTTTTTACAAAATGAAGCCTGAAAGAGCTCATGATAAGGTGTATGCTCCGTTCCTGTTGCCCATCCAAAGCCAGGCTGTTCTCTTATCTGGATCCCAGGCCATCTTACCTCTTCTGCTTCTCATCCCCACCTCCCTAGCTCTCTGATTATGTTTCCACCCTGGCAAGCCCCAAGAACCTTCTTGTTCAGGTGACCAGTGGTTTCCATGGACTCCAAGCCCAGTAGTCGCTCACCCTCTCAGCAGTATCTGATGCATCTAGCCAGCAATCCTTCCCGAAAGGCCTTCCCTCTTGGCCTTCCAGAGGGTACATTCTTTTTCTGTATATTTTCACCATCCCTTTGCAGTTTTCACTGCTGACTCTTTCTTCTGTTCCAGACTCTGGTCCTGGACCCTCTTCTCTGTCCTCTGTTATCCTAGCAAGAGCCTATCGGACAGTGACTATCCATGCTCACCTGTAACTCCTTCTCCTGGGAGCTCAGATCCCAACTTCCCTGACAGCTGCCTGGCTACCCCCACGTGAGAAACCCATGGATGTATCTTAAGTGAAATTCTAATTTAGGAACGCCTGGGTGGCTCAGCAATTGAGCATCTGCCTCTGGCTCAGGTCATGATCCTGGGGTCTTGGGATCGAGTCCCACATCCGGCTACCTGCAGGGCGTCTGCTTCTCCCTCTGCCTATGTCTCTGCCTCTCTCTGTGTCTCTCATGAATAAATAAATAAAATCTAAAAAAAAATTCTAACTCAGAACTACAAACACCTTCCAGAGATTTTCCCCATCTCCCATAATGCCATTGCGGATAAAGAACAGCATCTTCTATCCTCTGGTCAGGCCTCTAAAGTGTATATCATCTTTGATTTCCTTCAACATTCCTTTTTTTTTTTAAAGATTTTATTTATTAAAAAAAAAGATTTTATTTATTCATGAGGAACAGAGAGAGAGGCAGAGACATAGGCAGAGGGAGAATCAGGCTCCTCACAGGGAGCTCAGTGTGGGACTCGAACCCAGGACTCTGTGATCACGCCCTGATCCAGCATTCCTGGCTTCAGCATTCCTGATATCCGTTCACCCTCACGTCCTGCTGGTGCTCCTCCAGAGTGGACCTCAGAGTGCTCTTCTCTGCTGCCACCTGGCCCCAGCTCCTGAGCTGTGTCCCTGGCCTCTTGGAGCAGTCCTGCTGCCCCCTGGCAGCCACCCTTGCCAGTCACTCACAGGGGCCAGAGGGATCTTCTTATGCTATCAACCAGCTTGTGGCACTGCACTTCTTAGATGCCTCCTAGGGCATTGATTGAACTTGGAATAAAATCTAAACTCCCGCTGCTATGAAGTCCTGTGGCATGCCCCAGCCTGCCCCCCCTTTGTAGTCTCACCTGAGAAGCCAGTCTCATATGTCACACCTCTGTTTCCTGTCTTTCTTTAATGGACCAGCCATTCTCTTGGTTTGGTTTGGTTTAGTTCTGGACCAATTCTTTGTACTCGCTGTCCCTTTCTTTCCGCATGGCTGGTCTCTTTCTTCCTCCCAGGAGGCCACCCTTGCCCTTTCCAGAGGGGTGTGGACTGGGGAAAAGAGGCCCCAAGAGAAGGAAGTACAGCAGGTACAGCTTGGGAAGGTGGTGGCAGGTCTTGGCCACTGTGGCCCTCATCCAGGGAGCCCAGCGTGAAGCAGGGAACGAGAGTGCCAGTGGCATGGGAAGGGGATTGGCAGGTCAGGAGGAAGGCTGCCGGGCTGAAGAGAAGCAGGTGCCGGGCTCAGCGTGCAGGTCTGCTGCAGGCAGACCTCAGCCTTGCCCCAACCTCTGGTGCCCTCCTTCCTCTGCTGACCTACCCAACCCTGCTGCACTTGACCACTCTCAGCTTTTTTTTTTTTTTAAGAGTTTATTTATTTATTCACCAGAGAGAGAGAGAGAGAGAGCGCAGAGACACAGGCAGAGGGAGAAGCAGGCTCCATGCAGGGAGCCCGACGTGGAACTCGATCCCGGGTCTCCAGGATCAGGCCTTGGGCTGATGGTGGCGCTAAACCACTGAGCCACCCGGGCTGCCTCCACTCTCAGCTTTTGCCTTTTCTTGTGGCACCTCGCCTTTCTTGTAGTTTGTTGTCAGGATGGGCTTTTGCCCCACTCTGACCCTGCCAGCCTGTCCCAGTGGAAAGTAAGTCCTGCTCAGAGACCAGGAGGGAGGGCTCAGTGTGGCCCACCTGCCCTCAGAAGCCAGCGTTTCTTGAGCACTCATTGGAGCACCAAGATTTGATAATCGAGGGGAGGCCTCCTAGGTCTCCATACTTCCAGATCAGCCAGAAGGGGCCTCAGGAGAGATAAAGCCAGGCTGCTGCAGGGATGGAGGGTAGGGAAGCTTGTTGTCCCACTCCAGGCATAGGCCCTGCCATCAGGACAGAGCCTGCACTGGGGGGCAGCTTTCCCTAACCTTGGCCTATTTTCCTCCCTGATTTACCAGAGCAGCCTGGGAGCATCCCAGGCCCCGAATGCGCCTCCTGCAAAAGAGTGTTCTCTCCGTACTTCAAAAAGGAGCCTGTGTACCAGCTTCCCTGTGGCCACCTGCTATGCCGGCCCTGCCTGGGTGAGAAGCAGCGCTCCCTGCCCGTGGCCTGCACAGCTTGCCAGCGGCCATTCGCCAGCCAGGACGTACTGCGGGTCCACTTCTGAGTGACCAGCCTCAACCCGAGAAGACCCATTGAGGGGAGTAGCGGAGGGAGTGGGGGGTCAGGGTCCCCTGAGGGCTGGCCAGATCCCAAGCACAGAGGGGCCCTTTCTTCCCACGGGCTTTTTCCCTCTGTCTCCTTCCACAGTGTAGCACATGGGCCTGAGTCGGGGTAGGAGGGGGCACTCCACTCCTGCTCAAGTGGCACTAGGATAACAAAGCCATAGTCTGGGCCAGGAGGGATGGAGGACATATTCCTGCCCTCCCAGGCCTCCCTGCCTCCCCCGCCCCGCCCCACCAGAGCCCAGGGCCTGTTAGAGCCGGCCCCACCCTGCTGGCACCCACCCCAGTCCTGCAGGGCAGATGCAAGTGGAGCACCACAGACCATGGCTCGGGATCTCAAAGACCGCCTCTGCCTTCAGTGTCATCCATGAGGGCTCCATGGCGGGGCTGTGGAGTGAATGACTCAGTTCCCTACTGGCAGGCCACTCTGAGCCTTAATAAAGCGATGGTTGACGTCTACTGTGGGCTTCCTCCTGACAAAGTGCCTGTCTGTGTCATACTGCTGTCCCCCACCGGCACCCACACAATGCGGGGCTGTCACAGGGCAACCTTAAGTGGCCACGACAACCCTATCAGGCGACAATTGAGGTCAGTGGCCTGAAGGGATGAGAAGTCACATTTCCGGATGCATCTGCCGCATGAGGGTTTGCATGTGGGCGTGCATGTGAGTGGGGTGGCCTGAGTGTCCTCCCTGAGGCCAGCTCACATGAGGCTGGGGCTGCACTGCATTCAGCCCAGCCGGCTGCAGCTGCGCTGCCCTCTGACGGGGACAGAGCTTTCCCCACCCAGCCTGTTTCAGGAGGAGTACTTAAACAAGTAGGCTGCATTCTTTTCATTCAGAATTTAGTTTATGGAGTCCCAGAGAGAAACTATTCCTACAACTGTTTACTGTGTGGAAAAGATTCTAGTCACTGGAAGAATGTCCTCATGTGAGAAAGCACACCGGGATCTTCCCCGCTCCCTTGTGAGTAGGTCAGGCAGGGACCAGCACCTGTGGACAGGCCCTGGGGCCTCCAGCCACCTGTTCTTCTCCCCTAGCTCCTAGGGGAGCTAGGCCTGCCACCTCCTCTGCACTCCAGGGGGACCCCAGGGAATGAGGCAGAGCTATAGTCCTTCGACTGGTGGGAAAGAAGGAAGCTTAGGAAAACCTCTGATTCTTGGATTCCAGTCCAGACCCAGGAATTTAGAGATCTGCGGGTGGGGTTAGAGCTTCCTAGGGGATTTGTGTGTCCCCAAAGGAAATTCCCATCTTCTGCCGCTCTGTGGCGCTTCCCTTGACACAACATCACCTGGGACTTGGGGGTCTGCACTGGTGGGCTTTCCTCTTAGCTCCTGTGTGCTCTTTGGCTTTAAAGGTCTGGGCCAGTCCAGACTCTTGCCTTATCCTCATGGCATCCTTGTAAGAAATGCTCCCCTTAGCATTTGTAGCAAAATCACCACGGGGCCCAGGGGAAGGTACCTGTCATCAACCTATCGTGGCCTCGGGGTAGCTTAGAGGGTGGGAACCCTTCTCTCGGGCCATCCCGTCCACCCCATCCCAGGGAGTCAGAGACAGCTATTTCTAGCCTGGAGTCTACATAAGGCACAATCAGATACGACCAGAGCTGCCTCCCCTTCTATGGAGGGGCCTGGTGATCTGCATTTCAAATTGGCTCCTGCTCCCCAGATGGCCCTGGGGAGAAACCTGGCTTGGGAGCCACTGGGGTAGACAGTTCTGTCCTATGACCAAGGGGAGCCACACCACATCCTTGGAGATACATCCCTTTTTATCTCACTTTTTTTTTTAAGTTGTACACCCAACATGGGGCTTGAACTCATGACCTCAAGATCAAGAGTCACATGCTCTACTGACTGAGCCGGCCCAGTGCCCCTTTATCTTTATTCTAAAGAGTCCCCCAAAAGGATGTGATCTTTACCACCCTTGCCAGAAACAACACTAAGCAGGGCTACACTGTTTGTCTCCCCTAGAAAATGGGAATAACAGCGCTCTTGCTGCCAACGAGGCTCAAAGGGCAGTTTATTTCTCAGCGGCGCCCCGGAGCCAGGCCCAGGGCAGCTGGCCAGAACATGGCGTGGACCCCAGGGGCTCTGAGACGACTCAGGTCCGCGGAGCCTTGATGTGGCCTGCCGCCCCCTCGCCCGCTGCAGGTCCCGTGGGGCACACGTCTTCCTCGTTCCTCCGTCGTGTGCTCAACACCAAGCCCATTTGGGGTGCGCAGCCCTGGGTCCTCCGAGAGTAGGGTGCTGAGCCCCAAATCTCCATCCCCCAGATGCAGGGCGACCTGGCATCCCGGCCGTCCTCCCTGTGGGGCGAAGGCCTCAGTCCTTGGCCACTCTGTGGCCCAGCTGGGGGACTGGGCCAGCTCGCTCAGGGCTGTGGCCCGCCAGCCCCGGGAGCAGTGGGCGCGAGGGCCACTCAGAAGTCCTGAAGGTAGAAGAAGCGGAAGACCCAGACGGCTAGGAAGAAGATGAGCATCTGCTCGGTGCTCGCGGAGTGCTCCATCTCCTGGCAGCCGGGCCGCAGGGCCCCGCAACACCTGGGTCCCCGAGCCCCGGGCGCGCTGCGGCCTCCCGAGGGTCTCCAGCTCGAGGCCGCCAGCCGCCAGGAGCTTTTCCATCCCCCAGGAGACCAGTCCTCTGCCGCAGGGGTTGCTGTAAGTAGGTCTGCAGACAAAGCCACCTGCCCCGGAGGAAGCTGCCGCTGCTTGCCTCCCGCCTGGCCTGCAGGGGCTGCCATTGTGAGGGCTGTGGGCTGGGCGGGGCACCTCAGGGCTGTCCCCTCCCTCGGAGGTGCCCCCACCCCCATCCTCTCCCCACAACCGCCACCCCGCCCCTCAGCCTGCACTGGCCCACTGGGCCCCCAGCCCACTTGTTCTGGCAGGATCTTTCCTTCCAGTTCTAGGCTGAAAGGGGCTGGCTGGGTTGGGAGTCAGCCAAAGATGCTCTGCCAGCCACCAGCGGCAGAGGCCGTACCCCAGGCTCCCCCGCGGTAACGCCTTCCCTGTTACAAAGAAGTGCCATGGTCCAGAGGAGTGACGAGATCTCCAGAGTGGCACAGTAAGGATGAAGGAAGGAGAGGCAGCCTGGTGGCTGCTGGCAAATTTTCTCCACTGAGATTTGTGCCAATAGCAAGATGATGCTACTCATAACCATGTTACCAAGATGTGACCACACAAACATTTGGGTACCCTCCCCTTTACAATATCTTTCTAAAAGGGAAAATAAAAAGTGAATGTGTATGCTGTGTGGTTCTGTTGCCTGCTCATTCCCTTAGCATTTTTTTCATGGACATTTGCCCTTTTAAATCTTAAAAAAAAAAAGAAAAGAAAGAAAAAAAGAAAAAAAGAAAAGAAAAGAAAAGAAAAGAAAAGGGGATGACTGGGAACCTGGGAGTGAGGAAAACCCTCTTCATTCAAAATCCAGATAAGTCGGGTGCCTGGGTGGCTCAGTGGTTGAGCATCTGCCTTTGGCTGAGGGCATGATCCTGGGATCCAGGATCGAGTCCTACATCGGGCTCCCTTCGGGGAGCCTGCTTCTCCCTCTGCCTCTCTCTGTGTGTCTCTCAGGAATAAATAAATAAATCTATTTTAAAAATTCAGATAAGGGATGCCTGGGTGGCTCAGCAGTTGAGTGTCTGCCTTTGGCTCAGGGTGTGATTCCAGAATCCCGGGATCGAGTCCCACGCTTCCTGCATGGGGCCTGCTTCTCCCTCTGCCTGTGTCTCTGCCTCTCTTTCTCTGTGTCTCTCATGAATAAATAAAATCTTTTTTAAAAAAATTTTTTAATTTTTATTTATTTATGATAGTCACACACAGAGAGAGAGAGAGAGAGAGAGAGGCAGAGAACACAGGCAGAGGGAGAAGCAGGCTCCATGCACCGGGAGCCCGACGTGGGACTCGATCCCGGGTCTCCAGGATCGCGCCCTGGGCCAAAGGCAGGCGCTAAACTGCTGCGTCACCCAGGGATCCCCTAAATAAAATCTTTAAATAAATAAATAAATAAATAAATAAATATAAATTAATAAATAAATAAATAATAAATAAAAATTCAGATAAGTAAGGGAGAAGACTGACAAATTTGACTACGTTGAAATTAAAAACAAAAATCTTTGTACATAGAAAAAACTACATTAGCAAAGTAAAAAATTGTAAGCTGGGAAAATGTATTTTGTAATTTGCTGTAATTTGTATTACAATGGTTAATATATAGCTTCTAAAATTAAATGCACATAATGTGTTAAACCTGTTGAAAGATGCTCAACCTTGCTCATGATATGGTAAAATGAAAGCAAGCCTAAAATACCATCTCTTGTCTAGCAGATCGGCACTCAGAGTCAGGCCACAGTCTGCCGGTGGGCAGGTGCTGTCATGCACCGGTGGCAAGCTCTGTGGAGGGCAACGTGACAGTTTCTAGCAGTTACATGTTCGTGGACCCTCTGACCAAGCCGTCCCACTCCCAGGATTCTAGCTCAAAGATTCTCTGCAAAACTAGAAAGAGAAAAATCTTGGCCTCACTGGAAGAAGCAGCAAGCGACCTGAGCAGCGGGTGCAGGTCCCTTGGGAGGGTGGGGGGGCTGCAGAGGAGCTACGTCGCCCCCTGCGGAGGGAGGGGCCAGCTGTATCGGGAAGCTGGGCCCAGGAACAAGTGGTTTACAAGCACATGATCATGCATATATGATCATCAAGGAGGTTATGGAGACTCTGAAGGCCACTCATGTGTTTAAAAAAACACAAATTTTGCATTAAAAAAATTTTTTTTTAAGTTTCTATGTATTGAGTACACTGCCCCAGGGTGGGGGCGGGGGACATCCCGCTGAGTGCTTTATGTGTATGACCTCATTTAATCCTTGCAGCTCTTTTTTTAAAGCTAAATCTGGGATCCCTGGGTGGCCCAGCGGTTTAGTGCCTGCCTTTGGCCCGGGGCGCGGTCCTGGAGACCCGGAATCGAGTCCCACGTCAGGCTTCCTGCATGGAGCCTGCTTCTCCCTCTGCCTGTGTCTCTGCCTCTCTCTCTGTGACTATCATGAATAAATAAAAAATAAAAGTAAGGTCTCCAGCCAACGTGGGGCTTGAAATCAACGACCCCAAGAACTAGGGTCACGAACTCTACAGACTGAGCCAGCTAGGGCCCCCATCCTTAACTCCCAAAGGAGGAAACAGGTCCGTGAAAAGCTCAGGTGATGACTCCAAGGCTACTCCTAACCCCTGAGATGCTCTATTTGTGGCAGAGGCTGCCAAAGAGCAGACTCAGTCCCCTCTATAGGGGTGGCCTGTATGTTGTCACTGCATGGCCCCTACGGACGCCTCCATTGAACTAGGACCCCAGGCAGTGCACAGACGCACTGCTAGGACTGATCTGGTGGGAGCCCATGAACCTTTCTGCTGAGGCCCAAGTCTACCATGCAAAATAGAACCTGAGGCATACAAAAGTCTAATTGTGGAATAACAACTCACGACCAA